AAACAAGGACTTATGGTTTAACTAGGTATTTACTGGTATTAATGGCAGGGACACTTGGTTATTCTAGACATATTGCTAAGACAAAAGAGGGGCAGACTGCAAGCACAAGCTCTGAGCACAGACACCGGCACAGCTTGTTAGCTTACACTGAGTATTTTGTCCTGCTCCAAAAGCTCTCTCCAAGACAAATCTACTTTAAAATCTAGCCAGCCCTAAACATCATGGAAACAAGCCAAATGGAGACAGACATTTGGCCAGGAACAAAACCTTGCTCAGTCCACAATTATTTTTCAGTACCAGCACAGCCTAACTAGGCAAGCACTGTAAAAAACTCCAAGACAGAGCCATAATTTCAGCATCTTCGGGGGGATTAGGGCTAGGACTGTCTGGTCTTTCTTGGCCAAGACACAAGTTAGTTTGATGCAGGTAGGCATGTACTTTAGGACTGGCTCTATTATGTGGTCAGTATCCATCTGTAGGCTGTCCTGTCCGTGCTAATTCTCTTCAATGTTTGCAGGGCTGCCATCTACAGTGACAAGCCAAGGAGCATACAGAAGAGCTGTAACTGGCTAGATCAGACACTTCTCGCACAGGCTGCCTAAACCACTGCCTCTCTACATCTCTGCACTACACATCCTCCATAAAATTGTTGTCAGGGATGTTCATTATGGGCATCTCATCATGCAAAGTTTTGTCTTTTCTGCTTTTAAGTAGATGCAATATAAACGAGCATCCAAGAGAAAGTCAGATCTTCCCATACAAGAGAACTATGAAACAAATAACAGCTAAAATAAGTATTCAGGGCGTTTCTTGTCTTATGCAATGGGAAAATACATACATCCACTATAAACACTAGAGGACCCAAGTAACTTCATAAAAGCCAGCTTGACAGAGCTCTAGAACATCTGAATAGTAGGGGATGGGTCTGTACTGCCTCCAGTTCACATCTGCCTAGCACAGTCTGCACAGCTTTTCAGTATAGGAAGATGATCTTGCTCTGGAGAAGCAGGTGCTGAGGAAAATTGCAAGATAAAAAGCTTAAACCCAGGAAGCAATCACTGATGTTGCTGGCTTGTTGTTCATGCTCAAGAGCAGCCCCACAAGCTGCTTCAAGGTCACCAGCTAAAATAAGTACCCACCTCAGCGATCAGGGCCAATTTGAGTAATTTGCAGAACTGACAACAAGCAGGTATGCACACAGACTAATCACACAGCCAGATTTCCCAGCAAGGCGGACAACCTTCTGTTGCTTAACTGTTCTGAACACAGTTAAAGCATTCTCTCTAAATACCTAATTACCTCTCAGACATCCTTAACTCACCTCAGAGAAGAGGAAAACAAAGGCGGACCATAGCTTTTAAACCAGCACCTTCCCATAAAGTATCAAGTTGCATTTATGCCTTTTAACCTTATGGGAACAATGGATGCACAATACATCTCCAGCTATAAGAACAGCTTTCTCAGGACACCAAAGATGGCTAAAATATTGTTAGAAATTATTGGTTAAAAATGTTAACTACAACACAGAAAACCACGAGCATACAGCCAAGTTTCTTGAAAGTCATAGCATGTTAATATGGAAATTACTAGAATAATTTTAGGGATGTTCCTGTTTGTTCTAATACCAATGTTAAAGATCTCTTGAACTAAACATCAAGGGTCAAAGATAAAATCCTCAATACCTCTCAGTTTCAATCTACTCCACTAGGAGTATTGAGTGATTCCCTCAAACCTCCTTGGAATGCTCAGCCTGCTGTTTCACCAGTAGGTTTTGTCCCAGCAAATTTTAACTGGAGAAAGATACTGTGACCTGCATAGAAGTCAATATTCAGCCTTTGAAATATCCATGCTGACATTCAACAGGCTGATCTTCACAGCAGAGATAACTGAGGATGATCAGCCTTGGTATCTCCAAAACTGCCACAGTTGAAGAATTTCCAAAACAAACAAACAAACCAACAAAAAAAAAAAAAAAACCCAAACCACCCAAACAAACAACAGCAAAGAAAAGGGTTTTTTTTTTGGCCATGGTCTAAAAGCCACTAAATTTGAATTGAGACTGTCTCAGTTTAGGCTATAATGCTGATTACTTTTTATTTCTTCTCCAGGATATGGCTGTTTTCAAAAGGTCTGGCTCTGTTTCAAGCATCACACAAGGCTGTGAGCTTTATACCTCTTAGTTTCTCCACATAGCACAGGCACTGTATCAATGAAAACTTAAAGCTTCCTTTTGGGTTGCTTTCATCTCCCTCTTTATAAATCCATTTTCCTGTATATCTGATTTCCAGTACAACCTTTAGTACTCCTACATGTATTTTCATCTGTATTCAAGCACTTCATCTATTAAAACAGCATTATTTCACCTTCATTGCCACTTTATGCCAAACTGCAGCATCTTTTATCCCTTGATCTCAGGTATCGGCTGCAGATAACAGCCTACAAGGGATAGGCCAGAGTTAAGTGTGATGATTCACACTGAAGGAGAGAGGAGATAGCACTCAGTTTTCACCTTGGAAGAGTCAAGGCTCACTCCTATAACAGCAATAAGTCTTTTTTCCTTGCTCTGAATAAGACAAATCCAGCAAAAGGAAGTGAGAATAAAGCAGGAACATTCAAAGTGACATTACAGATCTCAGATGAGACCACTTCAAGATGAGTTTCTTGTGTCTCACAAATTAAAATTTAATCCATCTCTCCCAAACTCATTATCAGCATTCACACTGCAGCATTATGTGATTCTTCGCCTTAACCACTTATTTTCTTTTACTATTTTAGCCTTGGACTAAAACAATATTTAAGTCAAAAGCTGAGTTAAAAAATAATTACAAAATAAGAAAGCAGATGAAGCACAGCCTTCACATATTATAGCTTAAAAAAAGCCAAAAAGTCCCCAGTACATTTGTATACCAAAGAATTGAAGCTCTGAGAATGTGAAGTGAAACTGCTGCAATTGCCTTGTAGTTAAGTCAAATCTAAGAAAGTAAAACAGAACAAAAGTGTGGCCTCTAGAAAGACTCCAGACATTAAAACTCATACCAAATTCAGACTCCTAGTTTGTTAGGTGCACCAAAGCTATTGGCCCAGGAACATAAGGCATGACAGTGGTTATAGACTGTTTTAAGAACAAAACTCATCTCTTCCCCATTACTACAGCAGCATGACCACACAAATCTTTAATCTCCTGTAACACCAGGAAAACATTCCTGCATTTGAGACATTGATTTCTGCTTTGAAAATGCCCAACACTACAGTTCACTGCAGTTCAGTGAACACTATTACTTACAGGTAGAGTCTTATTAACATGGGCTTTCAGAATATCTTATGTTCAGCCTGAAACACCAAACAAGCTGGTACTCATAAGCTGGGTAGACCTAGCAACACTTGCTCAGGGCACTCACCATTTCCTTGTGAAACAAGCAACCAAGAGCTGCCTGTTGTGGGTAGGTACCATTGGCACAGCTTTGCACTGAGACACTCTTTAAAGAAGCTGACTGCAGGAAGGAGTGGAATTCATAGCCCATCTTTAGGACATATATCCACAAGCCATGAAATTCAGTGGATGGACAAAATCCACGGGATCCATGTAATGGGAGGCCCTCACTACAAAATGAATGCCACAGACATGAGCATGGGATATCTGGTCACTTCTATTGTTATCAGTATATATCAAGAGAAATTCACTTAACTGATTAGAAAGTGTTTGAAGCAAGAGATCAAGACCTAGACTGAAACTACAGCATAAGACTGCACTAGACTGAAATGGAATAATCCCCTCCCTTAAAGGATGTTTGAGACAAATGAAGCAGTCATGACTACTACCTCCACTTTGGAGAAATAAAAGAGTTTGCAGTACTAGGAAGATCCATCAGGCTGCACAGGGAGGAATTAAGGGAATGGAAGTCTTACATACATTGAGGGAATGCCCAAAGCTAAAAGCCTCATGACACACATACTAGCATAATCAGGTTTTAAAATTAAAACAAGAGGCTTGTTAGTTGGTACTTAATATGTCTGCTGAATTGCATACTGGTGTCAAGTGTTAAACCTATTATTGCTTGGAAACACATAATGAGCTGTACAGATGGCTCTCTTAGGAAGCACTAAGCCCTAGAAGTTTTAAACTCTTGTAGTACAAGCACAGCTCAGACTTACCTTACCATTTAGGTGAGTGGATTATAGTTCCCTACATGTTGATGAACATGACCATCTGATTTTTAAACTACTTTGGACAGGGGTTTGTTTCTTTTCTCAAAGCACTACCTAACAAGTAACTGACAATGGGACACAAGACCATGTAGCAGCTCAGGCTAAGACGGCTAATAGTTCTGTCCCATTGCCCTCCCTTCATACATGATCACCAGTGCTCTTGTGACATGAGGTCATCTCAGATAGGTTTGTTATAACACCACTCTACACCACAGGAATGTCTCAGCAGCCATCTGGATCAACTCTACTGTTCCAGTACCTCATAGCTTTTAGCATTGCTCTCTGAGGCAGTCTGTTCACCAGTGTATGAAATGTTCCTGAAGCTCTACCAGCCACAATTTCCCCTTCCTCCACCTCCCTGCAGAGCAATCCCCTATTTAGCCTCCATAAAGGGAAGTCTGACTTTTACCTCAACATTGATGATCTTCTACAAACTTGTTCAGAGTTCATAGACCAATTGCATGTGGATGTTCTTGGTCTGATATAGTAAACAAGTCACAGAAAATAGCTTCTGTTCATGCCCACATGATCTTGTCTCATTGAAGAAAGAACAAACAGGACTACAGCAAGTCAGCTATGCCTACAGGGGTTTCAGGTTGTGGTGGTTCAAGCTCTGCTTTATCCACTCCAGCCAGCTTATAAGTGCTTACAGCAATTTAGTAAAAATACAAATCCCACCAAAAAAAAAAACAAACCAAACCAACGAACCCAAACAACAACAAAAAAAACCTGAAAAATTCATTCCACTGACTGTTACTGCAGATATTAACAGGAGTCAGAAGATTCACAGAAGCAGAGTGTAATAAGACATTTATTAAAAGTGCTGTCAGTTATGTTAAGAGCTATAGTCTAATATCTATTTTTAAAAAGCATCTCATTAAGCAGTATTAGCTTAAAAACCATTCTGATCACTATGGTTACAGACACATGACCCGCAGTGTTCTATGAAATGTTAGACCAGCTTTGTTGATTGGGACACAGTAATCTTCAGGTCCAGGATCCACAGTGTCTAGCGTAGAGGAAGAACTGCTGGGAGCTCCAAAAGAGACACCTGCAGGTACCTGGAATAGAAATGCAGTGACTACAGATATTGGCTTCAAATTTGTCAGTTGAACTATCACTTGATTGTGCAATACATTGGAGAAGAGAAGCATCATCCTGCAACATTGCAGAAAAAGTTATTATCCAATGCATCTATCACTTTTCTGGTCAGAAAAGTTTTACCCTCGAGGAGCTGATGGAGGCTTCTGTTTCAGAACTAGAAGCTGACAGCTATGAGGGAGCTACAGCAGTCACAGCCCAAGCTGGAAAACCAGAGTCATCCTGTGCTTACAGCCATCCAGGACACTGGCATACTGGCTTACTTACTTGGGGTGCTTATACTTCTGCTTAATAGCTTGCAGCTGGCAATGGGGAGCATCAAGGCATGCTTTGTGCAGGTCAGTCAGGCAAGGCACTATCTCACTTAATGAATATCCAGTAAATGCAGCAAGTGTTTCTGGCTGGTCAGATGAGAAAAAAAACAGTGTTACTCTATTGCAGTCAGCAGTCATCTATAAGATGGGTTTCCCACGGAAGCGGAAACTCTTTTCACTACATCAGAGCTCACTCTAGTTCTTTAAGTATGAAAAAGATTCAATTGTATTGTGCCATCAGTTTCACTCTAGGTCCTCCTTGGTGCCATGAGATCTGACAAGCTCCTTCTGCTCTAAGCACGTGCATCCATTACATTTCTCCTGGATCTTACTCTGTACTAAAGCTATTCCTCCAACACACAGCTGCAAGGTCCACCAAGGCTTATGGTAAAGCAGCCATACAGTGAAATCACTCAAGTAGACACATTCAGTTCTCCCCTTTCTCCCAGAAATACCATTACTTGTATCTGGGGTTGTAGTTTTGGAGATTCGTGAGGCCTTTGGTACAGCCTTGATGTAAATGAGCAAGACAGTAAAATCCGTTCCATTTCAGAGAAGAGGCATGGTATTTCAGGTTTACTTAGCAGTCATTTATCAGGTAGTCTCATTAACTCAGGAACAGCTACTAGTCCTAGGATTTCAGCCTTTAGAACAACATACTTTACAGTTACTCCTCCTTCTCAGCTCAGTTTTAACAATAACAAAACGCTTGAGCTATTTATTAACACACAGTTGTTATTCTTACCCAGAAAGATCTGTTCACTGTATAGTTTGCTAAACAGTAGGCTGCTGCAGCAATTTGGGAAGGAAGGTACTTCAGAAGAGGATCAGCTTGAAGGAGACTCAGCTCTGCAAGATACTGAAAAAGAAAACCCAAGTTTTTCCAAAAGAATCAACCTAGCTGGTACAATCAGACCAATACAGCAAGTATTAAAGTTCAGCAATGGTCTCAGTATGATGCACAAAAGCATAAACTACATATCTAGTGAGGAGAATTAGCATTCTGGTCCTTACAGATCTTACAGAAGATCCTTTATCATGTTTCAGGTGGGACAGAAAGACCACATTTTGCCAAAGCTTATCCCATCTACTCTAATCTGAAGTTCTGGTTCCATCATCAGATCTGACTTGATTTTACAGGTAGAGACACAGAAAAGTCAAGTTTCATAAAAATGACAGACACAGTTCCCATCTGCTAAGGCTCTTGTTTATATAGATGGACCCCACTTGGATATCAGGGATAAATGGATAGCTCTAAGAAGCACAGTATGGGCTCTGCTGGAGTAGAGCCATTGTACAATCCTACATCCTTTGCAGAGAATCAGGTGATCAGACGTTTTACTGTAATTTTGCTGTTTCTAAGCATGGTTGCCTACTTCAGGTAACTGCTATGCAGCTAGAGTCTGTGTCATTGTGGAGCAATATGCAGCAGTACCAAATCCAGGACAGATTTGCTACACAGGCACTGTTGAAAAAACCACCAGATTTTAACCACCTAATTGCCTAGTCAGTGAATTATCCCTGACCAAACAAGACAGACCAAACACAGGATTTCCATGAGCCATTCTTCCAGAAGTCTTGGCACACAAGCCACTGCTATGAAACATGCAGTTTTAGGCCTGTTGCAGAGACAGCATCATGAAATTCCAACTCCTTTAAGGATCACTCCCTCCCAGTGTGCAGCTCATACCCTTGCAAAGTTCTCTGTCCTCATGCAGATTCCACGCCTCTGAATATACTGAAGGAGGAACTGGTTGATGGTTGGGGCTGTTAAGTCAAAACCCAGTACTTTGAGAAGCAAGTGTTCCATTCTTAGCAGCTGCTTCTTTGTGTAGGTATCATCTGTTATATAGACAAATTCATCCACATCTGGTGGGTAGATCTCTTCATACTTCCTGAAAAAGGGATATAGAAACCACATTTGTCAGCTTGAAGTTATAGTAAAAGAAATCTTTGTGCTGGACCCACGTCAGGATAAGAACATGACATTAAGAAAACTTGTGGAAAGCTTTAATTTTACTTGTTCCTCCAGGCTAGCTAACAACTTAGTTTCAAACTTGGGCAAATATGCTTAGAGGAACTCCAAGTCATCAGTCTAGACAGACACTCACATTTCTAGCTCTTAACAGGAAGCCTTCAGTGGGGAAGTCTCAGTAACACAGCACACTCCAGACAAACACCCAAGCACTCCTAAGCTGTGCTGCTTTCCCAGTCTAGTTAGAGCAGTAAAGGCTAACTGCAGATTGCAACTGAGTCTACTACAGCCTTACAGGCTAGCAGTTTAACATCCTACTGATTCTGCTATTGTGTTTATGGTTACAAGCTTACCCTACTACAGTTCTTTGCATTCAACATTTAATGTTTAAATATGACTAAAGGAGGCCACATTGCTAATCTTGAGATATCATGAGAAGTTACCTACTAATGCAACCTTCCTTCAAATTACCCTACATGACTAAGCCCAACAATAGGCTTCAGATCACCAAGATTTCAGAATATGAAACACTTACGCAGCCAGAAGAATTGCTGCTGTTCCTACAAGCTGTAGCTTCCCTCTGAGAACAGACATGCAGGAAAGAAACCTGTCAAGGAAGTTCACTGCCAAGTACAAAGTCTCTGTCCGAAGTTTATATTCTTCCCCCACTTCCACCAGCCAGTCTACTAGGATAGCACGCATTCCTGTTGTGATATCTGGCTGCTTCTTCATGTAGTAGGGCTTGGGCCTAAATCTTACCTGTTTGGAAAGAGTTGAAGAATCAGGATGATCACTTTGAAGAGAACCATGGATGGCTGAGCTGATGAATGTTCTTTATACTTACACTAAAGGAGCAGGGATTGTCCCACTCTTATTAACTGTAAGTATTAACTACAATTATTGTGATAGTGGTAATTATTCCCAAATAGTGGCATCTCTGGAAAGTAGTATTTCTACACTGAAGAGACATATTGATGCTATGGTGATAGCAGGAGAATAGTAAAACACTTCCTGGACTATGGACAGCCTTTGCCATCAAACAACTGAGCCATTTAGAAGGACCTGAAAATGAACCAATCAGATTTTTCCCCTTCTTATCACGAGACTGTACTTCACTGCTCTGACACCAGATGGTAGGAAAAACTACTGCTATAGCCAGAGAGCTATCAGTGAGATCACAACAAAATGCTTTAGCATTTTTTCAGTGTTCTACTCCCATTTGCAAGAATTCTTCACACCAAACAGTCAAGAGATGCTCCCATGATAGGAAATAACAGGGATGCATTAATCCTGAAAGAACTTACCACTGACTACATGCTGCCTTAAGAAATTACTTTTACTATTTACTTTCTCTTCTCTTCAATGGCAGCTTTGGATCTCTGCAATACTGCAGCCTACCACAGATACCTATAAGCTTCTCACAGCAACTTACTTCAGCCTCTCGGAGGTACTGATGAATGTCTTCTGCATACTCTCCCACAGCCAGAGTTACAACATCTTCCATGTGATCCTCTGGCTGAGATTGGAAGGATGCGTCCACTACCATAGGAGAGCCTAACAGGTAATAGGAAGCAGCAAGACATTTGTATAATTAATCTCTTGACTTTCTCTTGCTAATTTTAGCTCAGAAGTGTTGCCCCTCATGTAGACACAATCCAAGTTAGCTTGTAGTGTTACTTACTGTAACATAAGCTACTCACTAGCTTACAATTCACAACTCATAACCACCCTAATGTGGTTGTGCTATGGACACCATCTGAGCAGTAACAGGAGTTACCTGAACTCAGATCCAGCAGCCGGTGAATACTGGATGTCATTGCACTGGTATCTAGTTCACAGTGGCTTAATTCCAGCTCTTCAGACACTTGGCAGCTGTAGTTTTCTTTATCTTCTGGGTCATCTACGTAGATAGCAAAACCTTGCTTTGATGCAGTACTGACCATGCAGTTGGGCACTTCATCTTTTCTAGATAAAGGGATGGTGTTTTCAAAGCCAGAGAAGCGCTTGATAACAGCAGCACCCTGAAGCAGAGCACACAGTAACGCTGTGGGAGAGCAACTCAGGAGGAAAACAGAAAGTGACACTTATTTTCAAAAAGGAAATCACTTTCTTTGTGTAACAGACACGAGTAACAAAAATTCATGGGGAAAAGCCACCTCTGAAGTTGGCACCACTTGTTGCTGTCTTGCTATGACAGATTCTTCACAGGAAGAATGAAAGTGCAGTAAAAGTCAGGAAACCAAGGGAGCAGCATCATAATCAGTGCCTCCCACCAAGGAGAATGAGGGTGCTGCTCAGTTCCAATGGGGCTGGGAAATGCAGCCTGCTCCACATTCAGTTCTGGCAAGGAGCAGTTGCAGGTGCAGAAGTTAACAAAAGTGCTGAAGCACTGCCACAGATTTAGCAAGGACTGCACTGGCAAGAAGGCACTTCAAGCAGAGTTAAAAATGGTTTTGAATTTTTGAACTTAAGCATTGCAAGCCCAGGGCTACATGTGACCAGCCTACAATCCTTCACACCATCTACTGCCAGTAAGCCATGACCTGAGTTAGGGGCTTTCCACAGCCAGAACCAAGAATAGTTTTTGTATACACATACCAGCTGCTGTTTTAGGTCAGGACAGTAACACTGTCCCTGTCCCACCAGCAGACTCCAGGAGGGTTCAAGGGACAGAAAAGCAGAAAAAAGACGTGTCATTAACTTGACCTTCTTGAAGGCGCTGGCACCATGAACTGAGCACGGCTAGCCACGCAGCAATGAGAGCTTTGGGTCAGTGGACAGCCCTCCCTTAAACCACCCCTTACACTGTGGTGGGTAGGCATAGTATCCCTTCCTTCCAGGATGAATTATTTACAGGGTGCTTCCACGGGGAAACACCTGCAAGTTAGGACTCAGCGGTTACTAGCAGGGTTTCTCGGGAAACTCACGCTTAGGAACCGGAGCCCGAGGCACCTTCTGACCCCGCCGCGGCAGGCCCTCTCCGGCAGCCTCGGGGCAGGTGCGTGCACCGCTGCTGCCGGCGGCTGCCAGCCCCCGCAGGGCCGGCGAGCTCAGCCCAGGCTCTGCGGGCAGGGGCGGCTGTGCAGCGGGGCTCACCTGGCCGCCGGGCCGCGGCTGCTGCCCGTTCTCCGTCAGCACCCCCAGCACGGCCCGGCCGCCGCTGCTGCGGGGCACGGCGGGGCACGGCTCCCGCCGCCCCGCACGGCTCTTCTCTCCGGTGCGATGCATAGCCCCGACGTCGGTACCTTTCGGAGGAGCGAAAAAACCCACAGAAATAAAACGAAGTCGTGGGTGGGAGGGGGTAATAACAATAATAATGATAATTCAAAAAACCCTCCGAACGACCACAAATGCACCCCGGGCAACGCGTCCCGTCCGCCCGCCCCGCAGGATGAAGGGCGGCCCACCGCCAACCCGGCTCCGCTCACCACCAGACTACGGAACGGTGCGGCCACCCCGCACCGCCCACCGCCCCTATGTAGGCGCGGCCGCTGGAGGGGGCGGCTGTTGGCCGCGGCCGGTTGGGAGCCCGGCGGCTCAACCCCCGGCGCACCGCCCCGCCCCGCCAGCCCCGCCGGCCGCGGGTCGCCATGGTGACCCCGGCGGCGCCCGGCCGCACGCCACGGCCCGGCCCGGCCCGGCCCGGCCCGGCCCGGCCCGGCCCGCGCAGCCACGGCCCGCCCGCCGCCGGCTGCCTGCGCCGCCCGGGCCAGCGGCCCTGCGGCCGCGCTCCGAACGCGCGGGGCGCAGCGATGTGCTAGAGACAGCCTGGGCTCGGGCTTCTCTCTGTGATAAAGGACGAGCGAGAAAAAGGAGCTTTTAGCCCGTTTAAAGGTGCGTTTGACTCCCGTGATAAGTCCAAGCCAAGGGACAGCTAGGTGCCGACCTGGCTGTGCTGTGCGTGGCTAAGCAGTGCTCAGCTGCCAGCACGGGAAACGCAGCGGTTCATTCAGTCAAAGTTTGTCACCAGTGATGTGGATAGCGATGCAGGCAGCACTCGTGCTCAGTTTGTGGGAAGTCTGTGGCCATGCTGGGGAACACGATTAGATTTCTAAAACAATCTTGGCAAACTGGAGAAATGTTTGGGAAAATTAGGATGCTTCTGAAGCACAAATGCAAGGCCAGAACCGGTGGATGAAGAAATGCGGGATGGGGAGCAACCAGGTAGGAGCAGCTTCGCGAAGAAGAATCAGGAGGTTACAGTGAACCTCAGCCTGAGCATGATTTACCAGGGTCGTCGTTGTCCGAGCAGGAACAAACAGGAATACAGCCTGTGTGGCACATGAGCCCTCTGAAAGTCCATAGTGAGGACAAAAGAGCAAGAACTACAGCAGCCAAATGCTCAGCGTGAGATTTCAGTTAGATACTAGAATTGCGATACTAGATTGCTTCTTCTTCCCCAGAAGAGACAGCGTGGGAATTTCAGAATTTCCTTTGTTGCAGATTTTTAAGACCAAATTAAAGAGAATTTTGTCAAAACTATCTGTGCCTTGGCAGTGATGATACTTCTTGAGATGCTCTCCAGGGATTGAAATGTAGAAGCTATAACCCAAAATCTGGATATATCAAGCAGCATCTTACTAGCTAGAATTGGTTTTTGCAGTTCTGATCTGGCATTGTAAGAGCCTAAGGAGAGATGCAGGGCTCCAGATAGCTCTTTAAAATGCTGTTTATTGTATCCAGATGATACAGCAATTCACGGGTCGTAAGTGAAAGAGCCTGGCCTATGGCTGTCAGCCACAGCTGTACCCTTGTCTGAAGCCACTCTCGTTCTGGTTACAATGCATTATATACTTTTCTTTGCTGAGCATTTAAATGCATAACAACCAATCAATACCTTTACTATTACCTATAGCCTATCATAATTACTAAGATTACCATATTCATGTTACTATTTTCCAGTCACAACAAGTTAGTATGGTACAGTTTAAGCTAGAAGTTGTTTTTCAGTTTTCTTGCAGTGGAAAATTCTGAGACTTTTTTTCTACTTGCAACATCGGCAGTCTTGTTTGCCTGTGGAATCTTTTTGCTTGGTAAAAACATCTTCTGTTTGAGGTGGGTTTATCCTTTGCTCTGAGCCATAAAAACCCCTTCCAACTAACATACCCTTTGCCTTCTTAGTTATCCAGTAAGACTGACTCAGCAATTCTTTTCTTCTATATCAAAACTTGCATTCATTTCTATTCCTTCTTCAGGTTCTACATTCAAAGATCCTTCTGTTAAGCATACATATCTGTGAGATTTTCTTGTCAAACTTTCATCCATCCCAACACTGCATTAAAGGGCTGTATTTTTTCTTACATTTGTTTTTTAACCAACTCCCTCTGATCCCCCAAAAAGGAATTTACCATAAGGAGCAAGTGATGTATCTGAAGGTGAAAAATGTTACCATTGGTCATGACACGCTATTTTTCCTTTTGGATGGGAGGGGCTCCATGTCCTTGCAGCAGCAAGGTTGTAAGCAGGTAGTTACTATGGTGGATCTGTCACAACTACAGGTGTGGGCAAAGGCAAGTCAGGGGAGCAGAAGATTAGGCTGTACATCCATGTTCTCTTTCTTTAATTTCTAATCCCCAGGTTTGCACAAGGAACACTTCACTTGGAGGAAGTTATTTAAACATTTTCATGCCAAGTTTTAATTTTTGAAAAAAAAAGAGTCTAGTTGCCAGCTTTTGAAGTCAACTATTAGCCTAAGTGGAACTTAAAACACTCCTTACCCTTTTGTTTTGATGGGATTACCAAATTCATCTTCAGTCAATGAACACTCTTTGTATCCAAGTACCCATCATATCTTTATTGCATTTAGACATAACTTAGGAACCTCAGCTATCCAACAGATGACTTATTAATATTTTTATGTATGAGCAGCATATGGCTATCCTCACTAGTCATATCATGCATTAATGTAACTGAAACGCCTCTCAAATGCTTTTAACGAGGTTATCTAAGCTCCACTTTCTCAGGAACTCTTTGAAACAGCCCAGTATGGATTAGTACCGGAGGGAGGCCAGTGAGCTTTGCCAGCCACTACTTAATTGTAGCAGCAAATCAAATAAAGCTTTGGGCCATTAGTCATGTACTTCTGAGCTTCCCTGTGTGCTTGAGAGGAAGCTGAAGCCTTCCTGAGTAGACTCTTAGGGCTTCTTGCAGTAATCACTGTCTTACTGATGATTTCTAGGAAGACAGAGAAGTCAGAGCAATTCCTGATTTGGTGAGGATGCTTCCTTCCTCTGTGACTCTGGAAAAGACAGCGTTAAAGCACTCTTCTCTTGTCAGTCTTTCCTAGTTCCTTAGTTCTTTCTCCTTTTTGCAGTCTTAGCTTCAAATGTTGTCCAGCTTTGGTTCTTTTTTCAGCTAGAGGGTCTTATTCCATGCTGTAGGAACAGGCACTGATTTCCTGCTTTTTCTCTGAGAAACACTGTTAATTCCTGTGTTTTTACACAGAAAGCTCTGTATAGGCTTCAGTTCACAATCTGGGGGCATGGATCCCTCTGCCCACAAATTAAACTACTGTCAGTTGTCCCCTTCTCTCTTCACCCTTTGAAGTATTTTTGAGTCCCTAGTGTGTCCTCTAATCCCTAGGCTTGGCCTAAATAGTTATTTGGCCTGCAGCCTGGGAGTAGCATCTTCAATGACAATAAAACAACCATAGTCTTACAATTAAGTGCAAGTATAAAATGAGAAGCAGTTCATGGAAGACTGTTGCAACTTCCCAGCCTTGTTCCTCTAAGTCTCACATTGAATTACAACATATAGGAAAAGCCATTTAGGCAGGTTAGACACAGTTACAATGACTTTGGCCAGGTCACATTCAGTATTTGGTGAGTCTTTCCAGACCAATGCATTGAGCTATCCATGTGTGCCATAGACTCTTCTGAGATCAGCTTTATGGCAGAGCAACAATGGAAATCTCCCTGAACAGCAAATTTGATGCACAGCTGCATAACACCCTGGAAAATATGTTGTGGGAGCAGTCTTAGAGTCAGAAAG